TACACTATTGCTCTTTCCTAGCTCATGCAATAATTTTGACTTTTGTAGATCTAAATATTCCATCTTGAACAATCCTAGCTATCAACATTCACAGGAAAATGGCTTCTGGTTGCAGTCTCTCACAAAGCGTGGCCTTTAGTCATCCTTTGTTTCAGTGAAGCCTATCCATCTTTTATCCTAGTTGCCCCTATTCACTCACATAAGGGAATCCATGATTGGTCCAAATAAACCAATAATATATTTCTCACTACAGCAGATGTCAACTGAAGGTGATAAGCAATGGCCTTTATTTATGTCTCCAAGAACAGTCTTAAATAAGTATGTTCTTCCTAAGTCAACAACAGCCCTGCTACTCCCAAAAAATTATCTGTACGTACAGTTTCTAGCATAACAAAAAAAACCTTATCCATCAGTGAAGTTATTAAAGTAGACACATGGCCTACTAATAAAGAATATGTGCTGCAGCACTTAAGTGCTTCTGCATTACAGTTTTCTCTTAGTCCCCCTGCAAAGCCCTACAAACAATTGTTAGTAGGGATGCACCGATATATATCGGCTGCCAAAACATATCGGTCGATATAGCAGTACATCCTATTCTCTCCTCCCTGCTGCACTGTGTCCCAGCGGGGAGGAGAGAAACTCACAGGTGGCCAAGCGCTGCGGGAGGAGAGCGCTGTAAACGGCTGGCATCTCTCCTCACTGCACGGCCTCCTCTCACAGATCGGCAGAGCGACGGTGTGTGGGCGGACACAGGCAACGCTGTCACAGGAGTCCGAGCTCTCCTCTCGCACCACTCGCTCAGCCTCCTGTGACTGCAGAAAAAGAGATTGAGGACTCTGTGTTCTCAATCTCTTTTTTTATTTTAAAAGGGAAATATCAGAGGTCTGTTTAGATCCCTAATATTTCCCCGAAGCACCTACAAGTAAAGTAAAAATAAAAAGATTTAATAAAAATAAATACAAATAAAATATAAAAAATCTTTAACGTTTATAAAAAATAAGTGGTTAATAAAACATCCTGAACTTGGTTTCTAACCTTGATCCTGAAAGCACATAATTAATACACACTGTGCCAGCCAGTCAATCTTGTGTTTCATATCTTTGAACATAGTCAATGAAATTGATATCCTGTTTCTATGACATCTGGAAATCATTGCATATGCATCTTTTGATAAACTGCTTGTTGACAAGATGTATGAATAGCCAATTTATTTCAATTTAAGGACACTGTTACTAATTGGAAATAGTAAAAGAAAAATGAAGGGGGTAGCATGTCCCAACCAACAGACTTGCTTGATTTAAAATGTCTGTAAACCGAATCCCAACAATCTCATATAAGATTTATTTTGAAAAAAAATTAAAATGTTTAAATCTTTAGCTTTAATTAGAATAATACCTGGCAATCCTGACAATTCCTTTTTCAAACACTTCTTGTTATAGGGTGTGGACACTCCCCCTTCTATCTCCCAATTGTGCTCCTGCATTGCACCCAGTCACACAAGCTTCTGATAAAACTGGCCATTTCAACACATGTTAATAATAACTATTATGACCATTAGGAAACTCGTCCTGAGAGATGCCATGTGTCCATCATTGGAGTTCATGTATGCAGGAAACAGCATCTAGTTGGCCTCATGTAGCCCAGAATGGCTGATAACATGAAACAGGCATTTAAAAATGACCATGTAGTCAGATGAATAGGCATATTTAGTGGGTCTGAGAGGTAGAGACTGGATCTCTCTTCAACTACACCCTCTCTAGGTGGCCAGCAAGACCTCTGTTTTCACATTCTCTCCAAACAAAGCTTGGGAAGCAGTGACTGGACCCTGCTAATCACAAATCCTCACAAGGCAAAGCCTGAGAGGAAAGTACCCATCTAGAAGGTATGCACAAATATTCATTCCACCAGCTCACATCAATGTCATAAACCTCTTAGTGATTGCCCAGGGAAGGATAAATATTTATAACCCAATACATTTTATTTTCCCACTTTGGTTCTGCCTGCTACTGGGGAGTGTTGCAGTAAACAAACAATGTCCTTGGTCTTAGAAGAAACCCAATGATTCTAGATAACATGAATAAAGCTCAGGCTGGATAAAGCCTAGATGCAAAAACTAAATTTATACTAGGGACACTCTCTCTTAAGGCAAGGTTTCTACACATATTTGTATCCCAAAAAAGTACAGTTTATCCAAATTAGGCATGCGTGATTCGTTTTGCTCCGAACAAAAAGTCGTATGTATTTTAGGAAAATTGGACATTCGGATACATCCGAATTTCCGAGTGAAAAATAATGAATCCGAATGTATCAAAATCCCTAAGGGGGCACCCTGATCCCAACCCCCCTCCAAGAATGAGTAAGGGGAAGTTGTTATCCCTACTTATTCACCAAATGAACAGTCAATTCGTAAATAAACGTTAAAGGCCTCAAATGAAACCTCAATGTATTCTGTGTCTCGGTGTAGAATTTATTAATGTTATTTAACCCCTTCAAGACCAACGACGTACAGTGTACGTCGCTGGCATCGGGGCTGTGTAAACAGACTCCCGGTGGCAAAAGTCTGTTTAAACTTGTAAAGCCGACTGTCGGCTTTACAGTAGAAGCGATTCCGGCGACAGGCCGGTGAAGGGGTCCCCTCCGCCCAATACCCCCCGGCCGTGTTTCCCGGGCTCCGGTGCCCCTCCTACGGGCGCGGGACCAGCTTCTTTGGTGTCGGCGGGAAGCTAGGGAGGGGGTGGACGAACCTCCGTTCGTCCATCCCCTCCCCGTTCTATGGGACCGGGAGCGATGCAGATTGCATCACTTCCGGTCCCATCGCTGTCAGTGCTGGGCTCCTGAAGCACAGCTATAAGCTATTGAAGTGTGATCTGCACTTCAATAGCTTATTTGTAGTGTAAAGATGACACTGGGGGTCTTTTGGGCCCCCAGCATCACCTTAAAGAGTACTTGTCACCACCATCTGCTATCACAAGGGGGCTTGTAAGACCCCTTATGTGATAACAATTAAGGTAAAGTAAAAAAAACAAAACAGTTTTTAACATTAACATTAAATAAAATAAATCTAAAAATAATTACAAAAAATGTAAAGTCCCCCGCAAGCATGCGTGTCTTCGCGTAAACACGTGTTGGGTGTGCCTACGTATGAAAACGCGCACGCCGATATCTCTAAACTGATGACCTGTAGGGGCTTTTAAAGCATCATCTATGGACTTTTTGGGGTACTGAATTATGTCGCCGTTTCACGGACGACACACAATTTTTAACCTGGGCATGTTGGGTATCTATTTACTCGTTGTAACCTCGTCTTTTATATTTTATTTAGAAAATTGGTATTTTATTGTGTTTTGGGGCATTTAAGTACATTTGTCACTAAATTTTTCGGTTTGATAAGGAGTTGCGCTAATATCGTGCAATATAAAAATTTGCAACTGCCACCATTTTATTCTATAGGGTCTTGGCTTTCTGAAAATATATAATGTTTGGGGGTTTTAAGTAATGTTCGGGCCTACAATGTGAAATATAACATGGGTGCAAAAATGACAAAAAGGCATCAGTCATGAAGGGGTTAAATTAATAACTTGTTCTACAGGTCTTCATTGGCCTTATATACAGTAGCTATTAGACAACACTGGTATATAAAGACTTGTATAGTCATACATTGAAACAGAATGTAGGCTGGAAACATAAAAGAAATATAAAGTAGCATTCACATCATCTAAAGGCGAAAAAAAATGTGCTCATTCAAATTCTTGTTCCCCAATAGGGATCCATGGTGGAGTGTATACATAAGAGAATGAATACTGATGTTTAAAAAAAAAAAAAAAAAGATTTTTAATATTGTAACATAATAAAAGAGTAACATGAAAGTAAACAGTGCAAAGAGCAGTGCTTCGAATAATAAATACTCTTTGTCACGAACTATACAATGGCACAGTTCTTTGCCCTTTTCCTTTTATGTTTTATATGACTACTGTATTTAATTGAATATAAAAGAAGAAAAATGTATGATGTAAAACAGCCTGATTATATATTAAGAGGGAGTGACAAAAAGTGCCTTTTACAGAAAAAAAAAAGGTTGATTAAATTAAACTGACATGCACATTAAATACACACGTTTTATCATAAAACTCAGTATATGCTCCATGTATATTGGTAACAGGGCAGTATAGCACATGTACTGTATATTTTATTTTATTAGGTTTCACTTTGGATATATTTAGGACATTGAAATACTGAAGATATGGTTTGTATATAGTAAACATTCTTGTTGTGGACATTGCATTAATATTTTGTCATCTCCACATGTGTTTCTGCATTTGCAAAAAAAAAATTGTGTCATAATTTCCTACTCACAGGGGTAGTGTTCTACTGTATCAGAAACACTTTAACAGTCTAAATTGCATCCTTATTAGATGCTGAGGAGTTATACAACTTAACATTTGCTTATGTATCTTAGTGACTGCATTGGTGAGATCTCTGGGCTTGAGTTGTGTCAGCTTCTGCTGTGGCCATTATGAGAGGCTCTCTATTTTTTTTCATTGGAAATTGTATTTATCTTGTATTTTATTTTATATTATGGAATATGTATAGATGTGAGATAGGGACCGTTGATTGCAAGCTCCTTGAGGGGAGGGACTGATGTGAATGTGCACCTATGTAAAGTGCTTTGTAAATTGTCGGCGCTATATAAATACCTGTAATAAATAAATAATAGAACCGGAGTGTCTGAAAACATGCAAATATGTGTGGGAACACCAAAAGACCTATGTGGGCAAGAACAGAATCAGTAATTATGGTAGAAGATCTCACTGTTGAAGTATGCAAGGCATGTAACAAGCATGGGGCCCACAAATAACTAGAATACCAAATATGGGCAGACTGACTCTTTAAAGGTGCAGTATTAAACAGACATAGTGAGAGTTGTTTGATATTCTTTATGCCAGCATTGCAAAAATGATATTAGCATTTAAAAATCTTCCTTTGTTTTTTTCTTCCTGCAGTGTGTCGGGCTCGTCCTTCTTGCTGTCAGGTGTACAGTTTTTTCCATTCTGCTGACCCTTCTGCCTCTAGATTGGAACCCTTGCTGGAAAAGACATTCCACCTCGTGCCACCTTTTAATGTTCCGAGATATCAAAAGGATCCTCTAGGAGATGGCAAATCATATCTCTTAGGTAATGCACATCATTACAATAAAGTGATTAAAGGATTGACATAATTTAAACAATCTGCATTAAGTACACTTGGAGCTCCTTAAAGGAGAACTATGGGGTCAGTGTTTTTCCCCATAGTTCTCCTTAGTGTAATGGGAGGACACAAACTAGCATCCTCCCGTTACCCTAAGCTCAGTATACTGCGAGCTACAGATCACGGTATACTGAGACGCCGCAGCCGGAGCAGATTCCGACGTAGATGACGGGTTCCGCCCAGCTGCGTGAGTGACAGCTGGCTCTGCCTATGAAGAGGCAGGGCCAGCTTTACCCGTCCGTTCCGCCAGTCAGCGCTGGCAGATCGGAGCGGGGAGAGGGGAATCCAGCCCCTCCCCCTGTCACGGCAGAGAGCTGTGACAGGATCGAGACAGCTGTGACAGGATCGAGAGGCGAGCGAACCCGGTATGTGTTTGCTCACCTGCCGATCTACTGAGCCGACCTGTGACAGTCTCATTGTCACAGGTCGGCTAGAACTATGAGGTGAGTGAAAAGCACTCACCTCATAGTTCTCCTTTAACAAATAACAATAGTACCTATTGTTACAACTACTTTGTCTTTATCATTGGCATGGCATGTGGTTCTACAAAAATGGTGTAGGATCCCCAGAATGTTGTAAGCAATATACATCCAATGGAATTATTCTGTGAGACAAACTTTACGGTTCCTAGTGCATAGCCATAACTGTTATTGATAGGTGGAAGTACTCTTTCTTTGCCCAGAAGTCTATGCCCTGCCTATTGTGATTAACTGGAGCGCCACCTCCCACCCCACTCAACTTACTGCTGGTTGCCAGTCCTCTTAAGGCATTATTGGCCTGTGTCGATGAACTTTGGGCTCGTCTCTATGGCATCGGTTTGACATTAGTTTGAGAGACTTCTGATATTATTCAGAATTCACTGACCAATGCAGTTGACCTGCAACTGACCTTCTGACCTGCATTTTAACCTGCTTTAAATTGATTTTGCATTGCCATAGACTTGCATTGGAAATGCAAAACCTGCTTGAAGCAAATAAAAGTTGATACAGGACGCAAGGCTTGAAGCAACCACCTGAAGTGACAGGTGGGTGCACACAACTGTTATCACTAAGCAGTGCCAGTAGAACAGTAGAACAGCTTGAGGTACCCACTGCCTATAGTCACTATAAAACAATAAAATCATGCTCTACTCATCTATGACATGCCTAACAGCTGCCCTTGGCATGTATGGCATGACTTTGGTATAGCAGTATCACTTCCCATGGTTGGTGCACCTCTAGCAGTAGGTAGCAGATTAATAAAAAAAAGTTTTCCAGCAGCAAAAAACAACTCTTCGCAGGCCTGGTATACAAGAGCCCATACTAATCAATCACTTGAATTCTGATTATCAGTCACTAAATTTTCATATTTAGTGCACAATCTTTTTAATAGGCGTATCTATTTCAAGACACAAACATTTTATTATTACTTTGAACGTTTTATCTTAGCAATCTTAAAAAAAAAGTATAAAGCTTACTAGGTTTCCTGTTGTGATAAAAGAAAAAGAATCTCAGCATACTAATCACATGCAGAGCACCTCTGTGTTATTATACACTAAGTGTGTTCTATTGGCCAAATGACAATACATGCTGATTTTGTTGCGTTACATTACAAACTAACTTATACAGGGTAAAATGAGGCTTGCAATGTTTTTGTTGCATAATGTTGCACAATCACTGTCTAGTATAACTGCCTTAACTGAGGTAGTGTTTAGAGTAATTTATTGCTTTACAAAACCTGCTATTCCATCCTAAACATGATGCATGTGAATGAGGACAGTCAAGAGCCTTGGACCTTTTAGACTGCTGGCACAAAGCAAAAGTGCCACTATGGTGCCGAAATACTGTATTTGCAGAAGTTATGTTTGCCTCTACTCATATGCAGAGGGATGTAAACACAAAAATCCTTCTGTGGATTCAACAAACCTCTTATGAATGTTTAGCAAAGGAGGGCAGGAAAGGGGAACAATGGGGATGTATTTATGTATACAGAATATTAAATATAGGCTTGGTCCTTATAAAAACATTACTCTAAGAGAAAATATTACACAATATAAAATATTGTAAATTGTAGCAAATTGCATATGTTTCTGCTATTGGTGCAGAGACTCGGTGGTTCCACTGTTTTCCACTATCTAGAGCAGAGGCATACTTATGAGTGGCAAAATGCCTCCCATTCAGGAATAGTTGTTTGTGTACCCCTTATTGCATCAGTTAAAGCTTCATTGTAAAAATGTTTATCAGCTGGATTCTTATGAAGAGGATTTCATGCTCACTCAATTACTTTTTGTAAGGCATTTTTGTGCATTAAAGGTGTTAATAGTAAAGAGGAGTTGTGGTTGGTAGTGATGCATTTAGCTTTGCCTTTATGAGAATCTTGTGTGACGTGGATGTGCCAGGTAGCCCTGTACCATAATGTAGTATGGTATAAGGTTTACCAATAGTCCAAACATTCAAAAACAGCACATTAGAATGTACAAAGTGAACGTAAGGAACTGGTAACTCCAATCTATCTTCCACAAACCTCCAGTGGTTTATTTATTGGTAAAGACTGGACATTCCATACTTCAGTGAAGCCACTGCTTCTTACTGGCTTTATTAAACATCTACAATAACCTATAACTATGAGCAAGGTTCAGTAACCTATAGGATTTGATCTAATCTATTAAATGTAAACACACTGGAAGAAGATCATTTACTTTGTTACTGCACATGGTACACCACCATTGCACTTTCCCCCTAAATACATTTTAGTAAGTTGTTGCATTTTTCACAGTGTTTTAGCTGGTCACTTAGTTAAGGTACTTGGATAAAGACAAATAATCAATACCTAGGTGATTAAAAGTGCATTACTATGTACAGATATGTAAGACAAGCAGGCATGGATAACATTTCATATCCTTGGTAGTTTTCACACATGTATATACTGTATACTAGGGATGTCCCGATACCACTTTTTCAGGACCAAGTACAAGTACTTTCCCTCAGGTACTTGCCGATACCAATTGACGATACTTTTTCTTAAAGGGGCATGTGAGATTTTTTCTAAAACAATACAGACTAATGATTTTAGGGCAGTTTCTTTATAAATATGAAGAATTGTAACTCAATCTATGATTATACAGCAATGGAGAATATCAACAAGCAATACAGGACTACAGATGCCATCACTCCATGATTATACAGCAATTATATATGGCTGTGTGTCGTCTCACCTGGGATGCATTTGGGTCTCACCAGGGCTGCACACTAGGGTCCTGCGATCTAGGAGCTTGTTGGGGGCTGAGGAAGAAAGAGCAGCGAGGGGGTGCCAATGTAGTTTACAGGGTTACTCTAGAGATTAGGGCTAGCTACCTACCTATATGCATTATAATTCTTCATATAAATGTATGTTTGCATTCTGAATACAATAGAACCAAAGTATATGGGCTTTAGTGCACCACAATGCACACATGTGAATGGCCTGTGCTTTGGTGTGTGCTGTGTTGCAGGTATGTTTTTCGTGTGTTCGGAGCTCATTTGATCTGACTGGGCAGCATTAAAGCAACGCTCCTCAATGCATGAAATGGTGTACATTGCCACACGCAAAGATGTAAAGGAACCCTGAAGGTCAACTGCCAGTCATTTCTAGCTCTGAGACACAAATGAATGCATTTCCATGTGGTTGTTCTTATCTCCACCACCTCTCACAAGACCATCATGAATGAGTCACCATCTTGTGGCTGGACTATCCTGTCATTTATTCTATTTTATGGGGGATACATTGGGAGAGACATTTTTTAACTGCCAGAGTTAACAAGAGATGGAAGTGGGAAAGCCAGCAGGAGATTGAGCTCAGTTGGAGCTCCCCTTCTAAATAGCAAACCTATTGAAAAGTATTGAGCACTAGGGATGAGGACAGAGCTGGAACTTCTTGGAAGGCACAGGAAGTAATTTGGGCATTGAGTGCTCTACTGTACATCAGCACTGAACTGCTGAAACCTATAGCCATCTCAGTTCCACTTTGCAAACAACATGCCTTTTGTTTAGGTAACATTTTATATCACCCATATGTACCTGTAGCTGGCGGAGGGGATCCGGAGGAACGGCTGTCAGTAGAGCGGCTCGGGGAGCAGTCTCCATCAGCGGAAGCTGGAGACTCAGCCAGGGACAGATATGCAGGACGAAAGCGGGAGTCCGAGGCGGTCATGTGGTCCGGCAGCTGTAATACTGCGGCAGAGGGAGGTTAACAGGCAGCGCGCACTCAGCCCATCATCCGGACACGCCCCCTCCGTCTTTTCGTTTAATAAAAATTTAATGTGCCGGCATCAGCCTTTAGTACCGGGGCATTTTCACGAGTACCGATGCTAGTACCGGTATCGGGATATCCCTACTGTATACTCTTATTACTTAGTCATTCTGATTTTGAAAGAAAATGAGTTCCTCTTGGTGCAGATGGTACTGTATAGTAAAGTAAATAATTGATAGCCTTAATTATTTACTCATGAATCAAGACTCCGAAGAGAGTTCCAGTAAATTTAAATGTATACACAGCTGTTGTGAAGGTGGGCTGAACCTGCCATTCTGGAGTACAGCACAAACGGCTTTAGTGAATGAAAGGTATAGCAATCAGATAGCCGATGCCGTGGTTAGTGTTACAAAGAACTATCACTTTCCTTTCACAAGGCATGTTCATACATGTATGACTGAGTCATTTCAATTGAAATCCCATTTACGTGTATGCCTATAGAAGCAGTATATAAAAGATCCTCTTATCTGTGACTTGGGTTAATGCATGATTAGTTTAGTTGCCCATAATAAATGACAATGCCAGTGCATTGTACTTTGAATGAACCTCTATTTTTTATTATCTCAAAACCACTCAACAGTCTATTTGTTATGTCAGTCAGTCATATCTCCTGTTCCCTTCTATCAGACCCAGATGATGGAAAATGATTCTGTGTGACAGGCATGTGAGCCGTGCAACTGATGTTTAGCTCATCAACCTAAAAACAATCTACCTTCTTCAGATTTGGAAAATTCAATTTAAATGCATTTTTCTTTTTATATTATTTATGGAGTGTGGTGACATTTCCTGGTTAATATGACATGAAAACTCTTGGGAACTCAATTATTTGTCTGTGGTGGTTAATACTGGGATATTAAGAGGGTAGTGGGAAGGGAAATGAGCCTTATAAGTAATCATCTTATTATTTGTGCAAACATTTATCTAGCTAAAAGACCATATAGGAGCACTAGCCTGACTGCTGAATGCACTATTAGGCAGGCAGGCAGGCAGGCATGGTTCAGTTGGTTTGATTATGCTGCATTTATTAATGTGTCAGTGCAGAAAATGGTTACCACTGCTGAACAAGGTCTGGCTTAACTAGTCATCAAAGCACAACACCCTAATAAGCTGCAGTTCAAAATATAATTTAAAAGAATGCAATGAAGAAGTCTCACTGCACACCAGCACATTCAAACCACTTTATTGATCTGGATGCTCTAGGTATGACCCAGTCATAGGTCCTATGGTTCTGACACATTTTACCTGGGATAAATTATCGATATCGAGTAAACAGATAGGGGTAGGAACATTTAGACTATAGTCTATCTCATAATTGTTTTTCTTAAAGCTACAGCACTGTCACTTTCTCCAATGAATACACTTGTATATACCTTCAAAGACAATCTATTCTTCTAGGCAAGAAGATGAAGAGAAGAGGAGGAAAGGGAGAGGAGGAGGAGAGGGACATAGGTAGGAGGAGAACAGGGAAAAAGGTGTGGGGGAGAGGGGAGACAAAAGAGGGTGGGGAGAGGAACAGTCTCTTGAGATGTGTCTGCACCCATCAATCCGGAGGCGGTAGTGCAAAGGAGCTTGTAGTGGTGTTGTCTTTTTTGCTCATTTAATAATTTTATGGACATAATTTAAAAATAAAATAAATATAGAAAATCTGGGAAATTAGGTAGGTCTTATTGATGGTTTCTTTTGCAGCATCATTGTATAATGTAAAAGAAGAAAGAATTAAAGGCAGATATGCTCAGAAGGTTTTTACTGAGTGTGTAATACAAAAGACACAATTATATAACGACAGGTATGATCCCAGCTGATAGGCGGAGAGCAAATGTAGTACCAATATTCAAAAAGAGGAAAGGAAGTGCACCAGGTAACTACAGGCCTGTCAACTGAACATCAATAAAATATGAGTAAAATATTCAAAGGCATGATACAGGACTACATGCAGGAATTTTTAAATAAAACTGGTATCATAAGTGGTAACCACCATGGTTTCATGAAGGACCGTTCTTGCCAGACCAATCTATTACCATTTTATGAGGAAGTAAGTACTAAATTATGAATACCAATAGACGTGGTGTATCTGGACTTTGCTAAAGCATTCGACACAGTACCCCACAAATGTTTAATCCACAAACTACGGTCTGTAGGTCTAGATGAAATTGTATCTACCTGGGTGGAAAATTGGCTGCAAGGACGGATGAAGAGGGTAGTGATAAATGGGTCATTCTCTAACTGGGCAAATGTAGGGAGTTGGGTGCCCCAGGGTTCAGTCCTGAGACCGATCCTGTTAATCTTATTCATCCATGACATAGAGATTGGACTAAATAGCTCAATTTTGTTTTTTTGGGGATGATACTAAACTCTGCAGAGCAGTACATTTCGAACAGGAGATATTTGCACTACAACAGGACCAACGCAAAATTGAGGCATGGGCTACAAGATGGCAAATGCGATTTAATGTTGAAAAATGTAAGGTTATGCACATGGGAGTAAAGAACATATGCGCAAGGTTATGCACATGGGAGTAAAGAACATATGCGCAAACCACTATTGGGGGGGTGTTACTTAAGGAATTTCGGACATAGAAAGAGACCTGGGGGTCCTCATAGACCACAGATTTGGCAATAGTAAGCAATGCCAAACAGCATCCAGTAAAGCTAACAAGAGGGATTGTACAATGGATGAAGGGAGTTTGGCGGTTGCCAGGAGAACAGTACTTGCCTCCCTGCATTGTGGCAAGTGTAAAATTTGGTGGACGGGGGACTATGGTGTGGGGTTGTATTTCAGGGGTTGGGCTTGGCCCTTTAGTTTCAGTGAAGGGAACTCTTAAGACATCAGCATACCAAGACATTTTGGACAATTTCATGCTCCCAACTTTGTGGGAACAGTTTGGGGATGGCCCCTTCCTGTTCCAACATGACTGCACACCAGTGCACAAAGCAAGGTCCATAAACACATGGATGAGCGAGTTTCGGGTGGAGGAACTTGACTGGCCTGCACAGAGTCCTGACCTTAACCCGATAGAACACCTGTGGGATAAATTAGAGAGGAGAGTGTGAGCCAGGCCTTCTCGTCCAACATCATTACCTGACCTCACAAATGCACTTCTGGAAAAATGGTCAAACATTCCCATAGACACACTCCTAAACCTTGTGGACAGCCTTCCCAGAAGAGTTGAAGCTGTTATAGCTGCAAAGGGTGGGCCAACTCAATATTGAACCCTACGGACTATGACTGGGATGCCATGTGCATGTAAAGGCCAGCGTCCCAATACTTTTGGCAATATAGTGTAGGTTGAACTGGATGGAGCCTGGTCTTCGTTTAACTTTACATACTATGGTGCTATGTTACCTGAAAACTGGACACAGGTGATGAAAAAAATAGATAAAGATGAACTCCCATAAACAGCTGCTTAAGATGAAAATATGTGAAATGTTCATGGTGAAGGGTGATTGCACCATACTTTATGCTATGGCTCTTTTCTTCTTAGTGGATGGCATTCAAGCATGTAGCGCAGCTTTTGTTGAAAAATCTACAACCAGCAATTCACCTACTACAGAGCCTCCAGCATCGTCCAATTTATCCACACCCACCCGGGCAAAAGGTAGAAGATCCAGCCTGGTGAGCATGAACAGCGAGCTGTCAAGTTCTTCAGAAAGCCTGCCATCTGCAAAGCTTGCTAATAGTAAGTTAACCCTCAAACCTATTGCAGAGGGGAAAAAAACTACATATTGACAACACCTGTTTTATCATGCTGCTTACACAATTTATTAAATTGGAGAAGTCTGCATATAGAGTCATTTGGACCAAACAATTTAATCTCCTATAGATTTATTTACATACAGCCAAACCACTCAAGGTTCAAATGAGAGCATTGCAGGGACAATTTGTTTTTTGGACCAAGGATTGAAAAATCACCCAGATTTTCTCAACATGTCATTCTGTGTTGAACAGATATCAGCAGGCATTACAATCTCCAGCATTATTTACCATTCTGTTTTTGTCTTTCATGGATATAGTTACAGCTAACTGGTGGGGAACAAAGCGTATTGACTATGCTTTATATTGTCCTGACGTGCTCACGGCATTCCCAACTGTGGCATTGCCACATCTTTTCCATGCCAGCTATTGGGAGTCGACTGATGTGGTGGCCTTTATTTTGAGACAGGTAAGACAGCGTTTACTGAAACAGAACATAGGTCAGAGGTTTTTAAGTAGTGATTAAAGTACATCTCCAGACAGGAGAAAAACTGCCATTTAACTTTTATTATATCTTTTTCAGCACGCCTGTTTAAGCTTTTTTTTCTTTTGGCACGTTGTTAATGAGAAAGTTTTGTATGTCATTTCTGATCAAATCTTAAGTCATTCAAATGGTAATCAAGTATAAATTCCTTTATCACTTTCAGTTGAATTAAATAATGAGCTGCATCAATGCCTCTGCTGAAAAGGACAAACCTCCAGCTGGTTATTGAATGCTGGTTTTTAGGTTTACTGTGAGGATGGTTAGAGGGGATAGAACTATATTGTGCATAATGACCAGTTTGATGGCCTAAAATGAACTTCAGGCAAAAAGCTAAATACACATTTAATATACATATATGGAAACTGTTTCAGACCTATGGTCCAGGCCCTCCTGCTATTTGATACTGCCAGGTCCTACATATCCTGAGTCCTCTCTGCAGAATACACTGGCGATGAACAATATAGCCTGGTCTAGGTCCTGTCCCAGCTTGTGAATGGACAATGAACATGAGGCAGCACATTGCTGAGGTCATCACTCTGCTGTTCTCTTCTGTCAGGAAGCTCTCAGTGTTAGATGGACAGCATAGTGCAATTCAGTAGAGCTTGATTGACTTACTGTGTCTTCTTCCTTCTTCTTCATGTTGGAGTGTTACTGCTGAGAAGAAAACAGAAGGCTGATATAAAGACACATTACATGACTTTTCTCAGAACATAACATTATTTACAGAGTTATTCACAAAAGGGTAAGGAGTTTGGAGAAGGCAGGAGAAGTGAACAATCTAGGCCAAAATAGCTGATTTGGAAAATTCAGGTTAGCTTATGTTGGCCTTGATTGTTCACTTCGCCTACCCTCTCCAAACTCTTGACCCTTATGTGAATAGCCCTGGTTATATTTAGTTCATACCTGATTTAAATGGTGACTATTTATTTATGACTGAAGTTCAGTTTTAGGTAGATGCACACAGAAGTAATATATTGTCTGAGAAGGGATTCAGTTACACACACACACACAACTATTGTCAGTCTCAACAGTCTCTGACAGCAGATACAGCTCATGGCAACCCGCTAGAACTGGTGAACCCTCTTACACAGGAGCTACACAACAGAGAGATGACAGTAACATACAGTATATGTCACTGCAGTTATTGAGAGCAGCCATCACTTTGACACCCTTACGTCACTTGGTGCTATAAAGCCTATGACATGGCAAGTGCTCTAGTGTTGGGGAGGGAGGTCTAACCTTCCTTGGAAACTAGTCTCCTGCTCACCTGCAGTTCAAAGTGTGTGGCACAGTGCTGCTTAGTAGGACTCCCGCTATTGTCTCTATGGGGTCTTTCTAAGGTCTGCTTGTGCAGCACCATCCAACATTTCTGGTTTTCTGTTAACTCTACACTGTTGCCTGTTAATATATCCCCAGCATCCACCTTAAAGAAGAACTCCAGGATTTTTCAAAGTTAACCCTTGCAGCGGGGTTAAACCCCACACTGCAAGTCATTGCAGTTTCTATTTATCTAGGAAAGATAATAAGAAATTCTAACCTGATTCTCGGTCCCACGGCAGTGACTGCTCACCTCCCCCCCCCCCCCCTTTGGCTGTGGTATGTCCCTAGGCATCTTCATGTCTAATACACTGTATTAGACGTGATGACATCACAGATCCTTACAATGCCAGAGCCCAGGGGAGAAGAAGCTGTGGGGACCAGTCTAGCAGCCAGGAGAGACGAAGGACCAGGTTTTTTCGCTCCCTAGACAAAATGAGCAGTTAATGCTTGCAGTGTGGGTTTAGCCCCACTGAAAGGGTTAACTTTGCAAATTCCACTTTAATGATTTTCCTGTCACACTCTTCCTGTTCATTTTGCCATTCAAAGCATGGGGTCATGCCATGCCTAAATGTAAGAGGAAACAATGATACCACCTTAGATCAGCGCAGGGCACCGGTTGAACTTCAGATCTAGGTGCTGCAGTGATGCTTATCACTTTGCTGTCTAGATGCCTGAATGCTTGAATTAGGTTTATATTCATTAAATTACATTTATTTTAAAATGCAACTGGTAGAAGTACATAAATCTGACTAGGGGCCAGTCTCTTGTTAACCCCTGCACCCAAGCAGTAGGGCCAGTCAGTTCAGTGTCTGTACAGAGGAGCTTACACTCTAATGTCCCCCCCACAGTCACATTACCTGCTGGCCGCAGGGTTTCGTCACCCGCTGAACACTAGCCATGTGCACCGGCAAAAAAAACGTTTAGTTTCATCTTGTTTTGATTCAGATTTTTCGTTTTTCGGGATTCGGGCTAAATTCGTTAGCGGTAGTCTGTACGAATGTTCATTTCCGTTTCATGTTTGTATCGTTTGTTTCATTGCAGCAAAGTGACGTAAATTTTTTTTTTAATTGTCACTGCAATGAAAATTTGTCCACGAACGAAAATGCGTACAGACTACCGCTAACGAATTGCGTCCGGAAAACTAATATTTCCGAAACGAATCACACATGTCTAGTGGACGCAGGGCTTAGGGTTAGTTCACACCATAAGCAGTGCGTTCTGGTCCGATTCTGGCCAGAACGCACTGCCTGCATTGCGGCCGGCTCACTTTTTGGCCAGGCTGGAGGGGGCACAGTGGGCCATTGAAGTAAATGGCGCCATAGCCACGCCCTTCGTCTGAAATGCGATCGCCCGCATGGGATCGCAAGGCACATTGTGCCTGCAGTGTGTTTGGGTGCAGTGCGATCAAAATAGTGCTTGCAGCACCGCACTCAAACGCACTGCAGGCACAATGTGCCTTGCGATCCCGTGCGGGCAATCGCATTGCGGCCAGAGTGCGTGGCTACGGCGCCATTCACTTCAATGGCCCGCCAGGCCCCCTCCTGCCCGGCCAAAAAGTGAGTTGGCCGCAATCCGATGCAGTGCGTTCCGGCCGGAACGCACTACAAGTGGTGTGCAGGAGCAGCCGTTTTCTTGGTATAACCACTTCCAGCGGAGGACGTACATTTATGTCAACCCGCAGGAAGTGGTTAAAAAAACACACACACGTAATGAAACATACATATTACACACAAAAAAATCACACACACATTAAAAAAACACACAATAAAAACACACACACTCAACTAATAACAATTGTTAATTAAAAAATGCATTCCTGGGGTCCAGTGTGGCACTTGGATTATCCTAATGGTCGAGTGGAGGATCAGTGTGATCTGCATCTCAGGCTGATGCTGACCATACTAATTGATCCCTGCCAATCAGCGGCGGCACCACGAGTGATCGATCAGTATGATCTGCATCAGCAAGAGATGCAGGTCATATTGATTCCCCGCTGGACCACCAGGGAATGATTTTCTTTTAATATATTGCCGTTTTGACAATATATTAAATGAGCTGTGGGCACTTGCCAGGTTTAAAGATGGCCGCCGCTTAAGGTTCACCGACCCCTCACGCAGCCTAGGCCCCTTACTTGAATATCGGCCGTACCCCCCTGATGGCGGCCCTGACTGGAACCTTAACTGGTAAAGTCAGGTCAGGCCTGCTGTTGTACAAATCTCAGGACAAAGTATTCAAAATGTTTAACTCCCCCACCCCCACGTTTACACACCTATAAACGTAAATACGCGCCCGGTGCCCGAGCGCGCAAAAACAACAATTGCGCTACACATGTTACATATTGCCGCAAACGTTGCAGTGAGAGCAATCATTTTTAGTGCCAACAATCACTGATAACACTAAACTGATGAGCGGTAACAGCTTTTAAAGCGTCGCCTATGGCCAATTTTGGGTATTATCGTTTTTTGA